CACTTGGATGAATGGAGTATCGAAAACCGTGGGCCTCTTGAAGAATCAACTCATGCAACCCATCCACATTGTGCACACATAGCCAGCCTTGCATCCGCAATACACCGTCATACCCAATGGTAACCTCCTTGGCGATGTCGTGCTAAACTCTGTCCTTGAGGACAAGCAAATGGGGGTCATTATACCGACGCTTTCTAATATAATCATGTAGAGAAGACCAAGAAACCACACAAGCTAGAACTCGATTTGCCTCCGAAACATCCAATCGAACAAACTGGTTGGCAAAAGCCAGAACATCCAGTGATAGTGGCCTTTCCGCCTTTTGACTCAAGGCATTAGCCACCACGTTGGCCTTTCCAGGATGATATAGAATGGTGATATCATAGTCCTTAAGCAAATCTAACCATCCCCACTGCCGCAAGTTAAGATCCTTCTATTTGAACAGATGTTGTAGACTTTGTTGATCGGTATAGACCTCACAAGGGACACCGTACAAATAGTGCTGCCACATCTTCAAGGCATGAACAATACTGCTAATTCCAAGTTATGGACAGGATAATTCATCCCATGCACCTTCAGTTGTCTAGACGCGTAGGCAATCACCCTACCGTCTTGCATCAACACCGCACCAAGGCCAACACGTGACGCGTAATAGTACATAATGTAAGACCCCGAACCCGTAGGCAACACCAACACTAGGCTGTAGTCAGAGCAGTCTTGAGCTTTTGAAAGCTCTCCTTACACTTCTCATTCCATCTGAATGGAGCACCCTTCTTGGTCAATCTAGTCAGAGGTGCAGCAATAGATGAGAAACTCTCTACGAAATAATAATAATACCTGCCAAACCAAGAAAACTCCAGATCCCAATGGTTGAAGACGGTCTGGGCCAACTCTGCACTGCTTCAATCTTCTTCGGATCTACTCTACTGGGGCCATACGATATGGTGGGCCCGGCAACAAGTCAATACCAAAATCGATATCCCTATTAGGCGCATGCCCGGAAGATCTGTCGGACATATATCTAGATAGTCTTTCACTACTGGAACTGACTTAACGGTAGGAGTATCAACACTGATACCTCTCACAAAGGCTAGATATGCATCACGCCCCTTCCCAACCATCGACTGTACCATAAGGAAAGACACAACCCTTCTAGGGACATAATCCAAAGTACCCTTCCACTCCAACCATTGCAAATATGGCCTAGCCAACATCACGGTCTTGGTGTGGCAATCAAGAATAGCATGATAGTGCGACAACCGACCCATGCCCAAAATAACATTAGAATCTACCATACTGAGCAACAATAGATCAACTAACACGACTGTTATACACGGTCAACGATAATGGAATCTCCCACAGGCGTGGACACATAGGCAGGAGAACTCAAAGAATCATGGGATATACCCAAATACGGAAAAAAGTAAGATGATGCATATGAATAAGTGGATCCTAGATCAAATAAGACCGATGCATCTCTATGACAAACTGGAACAATACCTGTGATAACTGATTCTGATACAACTGCCTCCATCCTACTCGGAAGACCATAACATCTGGCCTGGCCTCCCCTCGAGGGAGACCCCTACCCGCGTAACCTCCAACCCTAGCTCGTTGAGCAGGTGGAGTGGCAACTGGTGCGGTAACCACGGCTTGAGAAGTCTGGGGACCTTGTGGAATATGTGGAGTCTGAGTAGTCTGTGAAGGTTCAACCCTCCTGAGTTTGGGGAAGTCCCTCACCACATGACGAGTGTCTCCACACTCAAAACAAGCTCTCGGAGGACGTGGCTGCTAAAATTCGGGCATGGTCGGCTGGACTGACCGCAGAAAGCGCCCCGTGTAGGAGGTGCACTAGACAATGGCGGTGCATAATGCGCATTCTGAGACTTGGGAGTAGCCGGAACACCATTGGAAGCTGGAGGTGCTGAATGAACTGGACGGCTCACATACCCTCTACCACGACGGACTGTAGTTGGGGCACGGGCACCACTATATGCACCAGAATATCGAGGCCTCTTGGCCTCCCTGTCCTTTCTTTTTCGGCCTTGCATACCCTCCAATCTCTGTGTGATCTCTATCACATGTTAGTATGGAGTATTAGTCTCCAACTCTCGATCCATGCTTAATCTAATACCATAGTTGAGCCTTTTAATAAAACAACAGACTCGCTCTCTGACTGTGGAAACCAGGGCAGTTGCATGTCTGGACAACTCACTGAACCTTACAGCATACTCTGATATAATCATAGCACCCTAGCGCAACTGCTCAAACTCCGCGCGCCATGCATCCCGAAGATTCTAGGGAACAAAATCTCTCAGGAACATCTCTAAAAACTGAGCCCAGGTGAGTGACGCTGCCTCAGTGGGGCTACCCTCCTCATAAGCCCGCTACCACTGGTATGCTGGTCCCGATAGCTGGAAAGTAGTGAAAGCAACCCCGCTCGTCTCCACTATAGCCATAGTACGGAGAATACGGTGGCACTTCTCCAGAAAGCCCTGTGCATCCTCTATAGCTAGGCCGCTAAAGGTAGAGAGGGTGCTACTTGTTATACCTCTTAAGTCAGAGATGCTCCTCCTCGGACATGCTGCCCTAACTTGGGGCTGAACTGGGATAACCGGCTGCACTAGTATGACCTTTAGGACCTTGTCAACATGGACCCTATGCTCTAGGTTACGGGTTGTGGGAGTCTGTGCTCCTCCCCCAGCTTGAGATGTGACCGGTGCAAGTGGGATCAAAACTGCCTGAGCTAGAGTACCAAACATGCTCAAGAACTGGGCGAGAGTCTCCTGAAGTGAAGGGGTAGCAACAGGCGCATCGGGTGCTTGCCCCCCAACAGGAGCTACTGGAGGCTCCTCTGTCGTAGCTCGGGCAGGTGCTCTAGTTGCACCACATGCCCCTCCTCGGCCTCTGCCCCGGCCTCTCGCGGATCTAGCAGGGGGCGATAGTGTTTGATCGTCAGATCCAGCTGTGCGTGTCCTCACCATCTGTGAGAGAATAGAAAGACAAAGATTCAGAATTCATGTCAACAAATTCGCATGATAAGGAATCAAAGAAGTGAAGTTCCACAGTTCCATAGCCTCTCGAATATAAGTATAGACGTCTCCGTACCGATCCCCGAGACTCTACTAAACCTACTTGTGACTCGTAACACCTATGAACCTAGAGTTATGATACCAACTTGTCATGACCCCAATTACCCTCTGTAGGATGTCGTGCTGTCACCTAGTCTCTGATACTAGTTAAGCCTAACATACATGCAGTATATGACTGAGATAATGATAAAACTCTCAAACAACTCAACAACTATCATAAAAGAACTCCGCAACTAAATGGAAACAAACTCCCAAAATCCGGTGATATCATGTCACAAGCTTTACAAGAGTATACTGAACACCCCTATACAACAGTATCTATAAATAGGGAAAATTAAGTAGAACTAGATAGAGGGTGACTCCAAGGCCTGCGGATGCCAGTAGGTATACCTTAAAGTATCCAAATCCGAACTCGACTCGCTGGTACCTGGCTGGTAAGAGGTACCTGGATGTGCACACAAAGATGTGTAGAAGCGTATCATGAGTACACCACAATGGTACCCAGTAAGTGCCAAGCCTAATCTCGGTAAAGTAGTGATGAGGTAAGGTTAAGGCCCTATTGGAATAAATAAGAAAATTGAACAGGCATATGACAGTGTGATAATGATAAACAATGGAAATAAAACTATGAAGAAATATACCAGGAATAGTTACACTGAACTAAGGCAAATAAGGAATCACGGAAGAAAACAAGGAATAATATGCTAAGGAAACAAAGCAACCAAAACACAAGTGATGCAATGGAAAAGTATTAACAAGAACCACTACCGAGGTACCGCCTCGTAGTCTCATAACACAAAACAAATCACAATATTTCTTTATATCACCGCGGAGCCTTGCATTTAGTTTTCACAATCATTTTTTCCAAAATAGCTTCCCGCGTTTTACCCCACCTTATCACACCATGTGGCTTCAAGTAGTTCCCCTACTAGCAACACGCATATCAAGCCCAATTTATCTACCGCATGCGTTTCAACCTAAATCCTTATACCACCGCATACGTATCAATATCACAACGTATCCACAAATTTCACTTCAAGTGCCCAATATCACAACTTGCCAAAGGAGTCAAGAATAATGGTGTTTCCACAATAGATAGCCCTTAGCTCAACCACAACATATACAAGAGTCTCAACAATAACAATCGAGAATGAGTAACTCAACAAGAAAGGTGTTTCGACAATTTACAACTTTCCCTCAATGTGAATCACGGCCTTTATAACTCAATACCCAATTCAACAATAAGATATTCCAAGAAATAAAGACTTCAAGTGAGGAACTCATCGGTTAAATAATAAATAAGGAATAGAGAGAACAATAACTTCAACTAAACATGTAAAGACAATTAGCAAGTAAGAGTTAAGACAAGTAATAATGATGACAACTAAAGCATATGAAGATAGACTATTGTTGATGAATATAACATATTATGGCAACTCAATTAAAATCATGAAAGGAATCTAGATAGCTAGAACCGGTCAATTACCATGTCACAACCCAAACCGCAGGGCAGCGACGAGCACCTAGTGCCTTACTCAATCGAGTACCAACGTAACATATCTTTCTTATCATACCATCATGGATAAGTGGGCTAGAAGGGCCGTCATGAGATAACTAGAATAAAACAAAAGGGAATACTCTACATAGGACGACCCAACATGGTATACAAACTTATATATGTGACATACGGGCCTATAAGACCGAAATAATCATTTATACACTCAAAACATAGGCCGACACGTCTATAAAATCATCCATATACATGACATATGTCTACACGCCTCTAAGAGTATATAAACATCATAAACGCCGGGACAAAATCCCGCCATACCAATCAATACATGTACAAAGCATATTGACCAAATAGGCAACTCCGGAGAAAGTGAGGTGTCCCAACACCTTCTGCTAAGCTGATAGCCTATGTGGGTCACACATCTGTTGCACACCTCCCAGGTACTAATCCATTGTAAACACATATGCGATTGTATAATAAGTTTTGCGATGGTAATTTCACTACTGAACCCTCAAGTATTAAACCCTACTCTCTTTCTCTCTCATTTCTGTCTATCTACTCTAAAACGAAAGCAAAAGACAAAAGAAAAAAACATAGAAAAATAAAATAGAAAGGCTTGCACACTCAACTTACCTTGCTCGAACGATTCACACCCAAGTGCTCGATTTCCCCACTCATCTGGTATGTATTTTCACCCATCCTCTTATTAAGGTCTTTCATATTTCCATTTTTTTGCCTTACTCGCCTCATTTTCTCTTTTCTCCATGGCACCCGTCCTCCTCTACCTTGAATCTTTGTTTCTGGTATTGGGCATTTAATTTGGGAGTAAATACTTGTTGTGGTTCAATCAAAATTAGGGGGGTTAGAGTTAGGGTTAATAGTTTGAGTATGGGTGTTAGTAATTGTTTGAAATACACAGTGGGTTTGATGGGTGGTTAATGTGATCGATAATGGCTAAGGCTGCCAATGAGGAAGGGTTATACTTTGATTTTTCTAAGTTAGGTGCATCAAAATAGTAATTTCTCATTGCAAATTTATCTTTACTATTTTTTTAAGTGCTTTCATTTGTTTTTATCTAAATCAAATAATTGTATTTCTAAAAATCGGGCAATTGTTACTGATGGTTAGAAGGAAGGACTAATTAATGAGAGACAAAGGGACACTTAAAACTATTTGTTGATTAGCATGGTTAGCATATGTTATTTGTTTATGCTACAAATTGTAAAATAAAACTATGGGTCATGGACTGATATATGTTTTGGCCGAGTGACCACTTATGTCAGAAGCTCTATTTTATTTGGATTAGACACAATAAATTTTATGTCTGTACAAGGATAAATACAATCCTTAATAGTGAGCGCTTGAACGATTGATATTGAAATTTCAATAAATTTTACTATCAATTAATCTTTATCTTCAGCCAGGTGTAGCATGTTGGGGCCTTGAACGCACAACTTTTTACTCTTTTCTTATTTGTAATAACAAAACAACTTAGTAAGTGTTATAAATATATTATATTATAGATGTTCATTTAGTACTCCGTAATAAATAATCTTCCTAAAGAACCTTATCCATATGGGACTCCGCCGTAAATATATTTATTTATTTAGTATTCTATTGGAAATAAGCCTCCTGAAGAAGTTTATCACTTCGGTACTCCATTATGGATAAATATTACCCCGGGTAGAAGATTATCCATACCTGGTACAATAAGCTTATCCTTTCGATACTCCGTTATGGATAAATATTATCCCCAGTAGAAGATTGTCCATACTTGGTACAATAAGCTTATCCTTTCGATACTCTGTTATAGATAAAATTACCACTAGTAGAAGATTATCCATACTTGGTACAATAAGCTTATCCTTTTAGTACTCCGTTATGAATAAATATTACCATCGGTAGAAGATTATCCATACCTGGTACAATAATTTTATTCTTTCGGTACTCCGTTATGGATAAACATTACTCTCGGTAGAAGATTATCTATATCTGCTACAGTAGCAACTTACATAGCAGCTTGCAGTAGCAGCTTACACAGCAGCTTCATTTCTTCTATAAATAGAGGAGATTTCAGTTCATTATGTACATCAGTTTGAAGTTGAATAATATATCAGTTTCTCTCTATACTTGTCTTTACTTTGCAGTCTTTATTTTATAACACGTTATCAGCACGAGACTCTGCCATCTCGAGCAAATACTTTGAAAGCATCAGAGGTACGAACTTTCTATTTCTAAATAATGTCAAATCTTTCTAAACTTGAATTTGTAGCCCTAGATATATCAGGCAAAAGCTACAGGTCTTGGGTGTTTGATACTGAAATTCATCTTGATGCGATGGGTCTAGTAGACACCATCAAGGATAAAAATCAATCATCAAACCAAGACCGTGCCAAAGCAATGATATTCCTACACCATCACCTTGATGAAGGCCTGAAAATGGAATATCTCACTATTAATGATCTAGTCATACTGTGGAATAATTTGAAAGATAGATATGACCACCTGAAGATGCTCGTTCTTCTACAGGCACGTTATGATTGGACTTATCTAAGGCTACAAGAATTTTAAATCTATCAGTGAGTACAAATCTGTTATGTTCAGAATTATTTCTCAATTGCAATTATGTGGTGATAATATTATTGATTATGATATGTTGGAGAACACTTTCACCGCTTTTCATGCCTCGAATATGCTCTTGCAGCAGCAATATCGAGAGATGGGATTCAATAAATATTCTGGACTTATCTCACATCTTCTTATAGCCGAGAAACATAATGGGCTATTAATGTAAAACCATGAAAGCCGACCTACTGGTTCTTATCCATTCCCTGAAGTGAATGAGACGATCTTCCACCAAGCTACGCGTGAACGAGGTCGTGTCTCCAGTCGTGGTCATGGCCGTGGTTGGGGAAGAAACTCTAATCATGGTAATAATAATGCACCAAAGAACCCTCGTCACCACCAGCAGTGAAAAGGGAAGGAATAAAAGCATGAAGCGGTGCAAGCAACAAATGCAGAAAATGCATGCTATAGATGTGGAGGAAAAGGGCACTGGTCATGTACCTGTCGTACGCCAAAGCACTTGGTTGAGCTTTATCAAGCCTCTCTGAAGAAGACAGAGAAAAATGCTGAAGCAAATTTTATTTCTGAAGATAATTTGGACTTCATGCATTTGGATGTAGCTAATTACTTTGCACTCCCAGAATAAGAAACAAGTCATGTGAGCGGTGATGAATCTGTAGAAATATAATTATTTTAATTTGTATTGCTTGTAGTAGATAGTATGGTTATGTAATTGTTGTACATAAGTAAAAGTTGTGCTTTGATAATGATGTTTACTATCATATTTATTTATTTTTATGTCATTTTGAAGAATATGGATATTCCTCAAATTATGTTTGGATCAAAGACCAATCATGAAGGTAATTGTGTAATTGATAGTGGAACAACTCATGCCATATTCAAAGATCAGAAATATTTTTCTTATCTGCATAAGGAAAAATTCAATAATTTCTGGTAATATAAGTTTGATTGAAGGCTCCGGAAGAGCTACTATATTTCTATCTAAGGGAAGAAAACTTATTATAGATAATGCATTATTCTCCTACAAGTCCCAAAGAAACTTGTTGAGATTTATAGATATGCACCGAAATGGGTATCATGTTGAGACGATAGATGAAATGAATATGGAATATCTTTGTATTACGAAGAATGTTTCTGGCCAGAAGTGCATTGTAGAAAAGTTATCAAACTTTATCTTCTGGCTTATACTATTCAAAGATTAGTACAGTTGAAGCACACTCTATCGTAAACCAGAAGTTTACTGATTCAAATATTTTTGTGCTTTGGCATGGCCGTTTGGGCCATCCTGGATCAATAATGATGAGACAAATTACTGAAAATTCGAGTGGGCATCCATTAAAGAACCTGAAGATCCTTAAAAATAATGAAATTTATTCTGATGCTTGTTATCAAGGCAAAATGATCACTAGACCATCACCAATGAAAGTTGTCATTGAATCCCCTGCCTTTTTAGAACGTATACATGGGGATATATGTGGACCTATTCACCCACCAAGTGGGTTGTTCAGACATTTTATGGTCCTAATAGATGCATCTTCAAGATGGTCTCATGCGTGCCTACTATCATCTTGCATCCTGGCGTTTGCAAAAATATTAGCCCAAGTCATTGATTAAGGGGACAATTCCCAGATTATCCTATAAAGGCTATTCGCCTTGATAATGCTGGAAAATTCTCATCTCAAGCTTTTGGTGATTATTGTCTATTAGTTGGGATAAAAGTTGAACATCCTATTGCTTATATTCATACTCAAAATGGCCTTGCAGAGTCATTTATTAAACGCCTGCAATTGATAGCAAAACCACTACTTATGAAAATAAAATTACCCACTACTGTTTGGGGCCATTATTTCTTTCATGCAGCATTACTTATCCGTCTCAGACTGACACATTATAATAAATATTCTTCGTCACAATTAGTTTTTGGTCATGAACCAAATATTGCCCATATACGAATTTTTAGATGTGTTGTATATGTGCCAGTAGCACCACCACAACGCAGTAAGATGGGACCATAGAGAAGGATAGGAATATAGGTTGGGTTTGAATCACCCTCTATTATTCGCTATCTTGAACCATTGACAGGAGATTTATTTACTACTCGATTTGCAGATTGTCGGTATGATGAAACAAATTTTCCACAATTAGGGGGAGAGAAAAAGGAATCAAAAGAAAAATTGTGTGGAAAGTTTCATCATTATCTCATTTTGATCCACGTACCTCTATATGTAATCAAGAGGTCCAGAAGATCATCCATTTACAAAATATAGCACATCAAATGCCAAACGCGGTTACTGAGTTGAAAAGGATAACTAAGTCACATATCTGTGCAGAGAATGTGCCTATCCAAATTGATGTCCCAGCAGGACCATCTACTAGCATGAGAGCTAATGAACCTAAAGCACGCCTGAAGCGTGGTAGGCCTTTGGGTTCTAAAGATCGAAATCCTCGAAAAAGAAAATCGACAAATGATCAAAACGATACTATGAAGGGATCTCCCAAAGAGACCCAAGATCTGATTCGTTCTAAGATTCTTGAAAAAATCAATGAACCCGAAGCTCAAGTGAGTGAGGAACTTTTAATAAGTTCTACCGGTGATGGGATTAACTTGAATCGATCTCAAATAGTGGTGGATAGTATTTTTGCATAAATGTTGCACTTAATATTATGCAAGATAGTGAGAATCTTGAACCCCGATCTGTCGAAGAATGTCGACAAAGATCGGATTGGCCAAAATGGAAAGAGGCAATTCAATATGAATTGAACGTACTTGCTAGAAAAGAGGTCTTTGGACCAGTAGTCTAAACACTTGCTGGTATAAAAACAGTTGGTCATAAATGGGTTTTTGGGCAAAAAAGGAATGATAAAAATGAAATTGAAAGATAGAAAGCTCGCCTTTTTGCACAAGGATTCTCACAACGACCTGGAGTGTAAGTTCACCGCTGAGCCAGGGGAAGTGGGCGTAGATGTGAGGCTTGACTCACAGGTCATCCTAAGTAGAGGCAGCTTCAAGTACCTTGGGTCGGTTATCCAGGCGGGAGGGGAGATCGATGAGTATGTCACACACCGTATTGGGGTAGGATGGATGAAGTAGAGGTTAGCATTTGGAGTCCTGTGTGACAAGAGAGTGTCATCGATACTCAAAGGTAAGTTCTATAAAACGGTGGTTAGACCGGCCATGATGTTAAGGGCTGAGTGTTGACCTGTTAAAAACTCACATATCCAGAAGATGAAAGTAGCAGAAATGAGGATGTTGAGGTGGATATGCGGGCACACTAGGATGGATAAGATTAGGAATGATGATATTCAGGAGAAGGTGCGCGTGGCTCCCATTGATGACAAGATGCGGGAAGCGAGGCTCGGATGGTTCGGGCATGTACATAGGAGAAGCCCAGATGCCCCAGTATAGAGGTGTGAGCGGTTGGTTGTGGATGGAATGAGAAAAGGTAGAGGGCGGCCTAAGAAGTATTGGGAGAGGTGATCAGGCAGGACATGGTGAGGCTTCAGATTTTCGAGGACACGGCACTTGATAGGAAGATGTGGAGGCCGAGTATTAGGGTTGTAGGGTAGGAGGTTTGCCTTACTTCGTACCGTTGTGAGACTAGTCTAGTAGGGTTTTTGTCTAAGATAGCTAGTGGGAATGTGGTGTCTTACTAATTCGCTTTTCAGTGCCGGACCTATTTACTAGCTATCGCTTTTGCTTTGCATCTTTCTTCTGGATTTCATGTTGTTCCTACTTTTCCTATAATTTATGTGGTGATACTGATATTATCTCCTTTTGTCTTTTTGCCCTCTTGAGCCGAGGATCTACCGGAAACAGCCTCTACCCCTTCGGGGTAAGGGTAAGGTCTGCGTACACACTACCCTCCCAAGACCCCACTAGTGGGATTTCACTGGGTCGTTATTGTTGTTGTTGTATATTCACCTGTTATGGATGCCATAACATTTCGATATCTCATCAGTTTAGCACTACATGAAAAGCTTGAAATATATCTAATGGATGTAGTTACAGCTTATCTGTACGGTTCACTTGATAATAAAATTTATATGAAAATCCCTGAAGGATTTAAAATGTCTGAAGCAAATTCAAAATCTCAGGAAATGTATTCAATCCTATTACAAAGATCTTTGTACGGTTTAAAGTAATCTGGTGGCATGTGGTATAATCACCTTAGTGAATATTTGCTGAAAGAGGGTTACATAAATGATGTTATTTGTCCATGTATATTTATAAAGAAATGATATCAGAATTTGTTATAATTGCAGTTTATGTTGACAACATAAATCTTGTTGGAACTCCAGAAGAGCTCCAAAAGGCAATTGAATATCTTAAGAAAGAATTTGAGATGAAAGATCCTGGAAAGACAAAACTTTTTCTTGGTCTGCAAATTGAACATTTAGCAGACGAATTTTTATCTGCCTATACATAAAGGGTCTTAAAACGCTTTTACATGGACAAAGCGTACCCATTAAATACACTAATGGTTGTTGATCACTTGAAGTGAATAAGGATCTATTCTGACCTCCAGAAGAGGATGAGGAACTCCTTGGCCCTGAAAAACCTTATTTTAGTGCGATTGGTGCGCTTATGTATCTTGCTAATGCTACAAGGCATGACATAGCATTTTCTATTAATTTACTAGCAAGATATAGCTCCTCTCCTACATGGAGACATTAGAATGGGATTAAGCATATATTATGATATTTAAAGGGAACTCTTGATATGGGTTTATGTTATGATAACAAAGGTAGTGCAGATCTTGTTGGTTATGCAAATGCAGGTTATTTATCTGATCCACATAAAGCTCGATCTATGACCAGGTACGTGTTTACATATGGAGGTACTGTCATATCATGGCGCTCCACAAAGCAATCTATTGTTGCTACTTCTTTAAATCATGTTGAGATAATAGCTATTCATGAAGCAAGTAGGGAATGCGTATGGTTGAGATCAGTGATTCATTTTATTCAAGGAAAATGTGATTTGGAATGTGATAAAAGATCCACAATTTTAAACGAAGGCAATGTTGCATGCATAGCCCAATTAAAGGGAGGATTTATAAAAGGAGATAGAACGAAGCACATTTCACCAAAATTATTCTACACACATGATCTTCAGAAAAATGATGACATTGATGTGCAACAAATCCGTTCGAGTGACAATCCAGCAGATTTATTCACTAAATCTTTGCCAACATCAACTTTTGAGAAGATGGTATACAAGATTGGAATGCGAAGACTCAAATATTTGAAATAAGGTTTTTACCAGGGGGAGTAAAATACACGCTATACTCTTTTCCCTTACTAAGATTTTTCCCACAGGGTTTTTCTTATAAGGTTTTTAATGAGACAACTAGTTATGCGTATTACTAAAATATGTGCTCGTTTTTCTTCACTAGGATTTTTTCCCACGGGGTTTTTGCTAGTAAGGTTTTAATGAGGCACATTATCTTTTAATGAACATCCAAGGAGGAGTGTTATAAATATATTATATTATGGATGTTCATTTAGTACTCCATTGTAAATAAGCTTCCTGAAGATATCCATATGGGACTCCACCGTAAATATATTTATCTATTTAGTACTCTATTGGAAATAAGCCTACTGAAGAAGTTTATCACTTCGGTACTCCGTTATGGATAAACATTACCCCCGATAGAAGATTATTCATACCTGGTACAATAAGCTCATCCTTTCGATACTCCATTATGGATAAACATTACCCCCAGAAGATTATCCATACCTGGTACAATAAGCTTATCCTTTCGGTACTCCGTTATAGATAAACATTACCACCGGTAGAATTTCATCCATACCCGTTACAATAAACTTATCCTTTCGGTACTCCGTTATGGATAAACATTACCACCAGGAGAAAATTATCCATACATGGTACAATAAGCTTATCCTTTCGGTACTCTATTATGGATAAACATTACCCCCGTTAGAAGCTTATCTATATCTGGTACATTAGTAGCTTACACAGCAGCTTGCAGTAGCAGCGTACACGGCAGCTTCCTTTATTCTATAAATAGAGGAGATTTCAATTCTTATGTACATCAGTTTAAAATTGAATAATATATCAGTTTCTCTCTATACTTGTCTTTACTTTACCGTCTTTATTTTATAACAGTAACAATTTTAACTCTAACTGTCACTTTCCGTTAATCCTCTCAAAGTTCTATTTTTCTTTGGGCAAAGGTCCAAATTTTGTGTGGAATATACCATTTAGAACAAATTTACTCCGGTAAAAAATATCGTATTTTTACCTTCGGTGTTACCGAAATGTCTTAATTTTGCGCTTCAAGGCTAACAACAGCATAAACGACAAATTTAATCATTCATAACGTTCAAGGACAAATCCGGATCATTCGCAAAGTACAGAGGAAAATCTCTAAATCCTAAACAGTTCATTTAAATCCTAATGAAAGGTAATTAAGAGCCCGTTTGGACATAAGAAATTTTTTTCTTTTTTTCAAAAAGTTTTCACTTTTTTTCGAAATTAGTATTTTTTTTCATAAAATTTCCAATTTCACTTGAAGATTCATTTTGGAAATTTTCGAAAATTTGAAAAACTCCAAAAAGCTATTTTTCAAATTTTCACGCAAATCACTCACAAAACTTCAAAAGCAACCCAGAATTATATTCATGTCCAAACACAACTCTAATTCATATGCCATTTTCACTTGAAAAAAGTTTTCACCATATTTTGAAATTTTACAATTATTATGTCCAACGCCCACTAAGTGTCCCTAACTATGAATGACCTATAAAAGAAAAAAAAATGCATGCCAGAGTACATCAATTTAATTAATTGAATGTGAGGATTTTTTTCTTTAATTCTAACTTAATTATGATAATTTATTGTCTTTCTACATTTATTACATGACTTATCCAAAACCAAATTTCGAATAGTTCCGATGTCGTATTGTAGGAAATCTTTAAGTTAAACAACAATACATTATTTGCTTCTAGGTAGGATTGAAGTAAAATAGTTTGCCTTTTAACTCTCCGAGTGATCCGGATTTGCCCTTAAAGTTACTAATAATCTAAATTTACCCTTTATGCTGCTGCTCTTAGGCCAGAATGGCAAATTTGAGTCATTTTGGTAACAGCAGGGGTAAAAAGAAGATATGTTTTTAACGGAGAATAAATTTTTCTAAATCGTATAAACCAAGATATATTTGAGCCTTTAGTCTTTTCTTTTAGAAAAACACGAGGCACTGCAAATAACAATTTAAAGGAAAAAAAGAAGAGGAAAAACTCATCAAAGATAGCAAATTGACAAGATTAGCGTTGCCGCTGTGCCTTTATCTGTACGGAATAGGGATGGTTTCCCATCTTTTCCTGTTCTGCATTCATAGGACAGAATCAAATGCAGTAACATGTTACGAAACGCAACCTCATTGCTCTCTCCACTGCCCCTCTCTATCTCTGTCCTCCTTTTTCGTTATTTTGCTCCTTTGGACCAAATGTTCTCTTCTTTCCGCACACACGAATGTTTTTTTTTTCTTTTCTTCAGCAGAAAAGTGACCAGTTTTACTCTAAACTAGATGACAAGAGAGACTGCAATTTCACCAGAAGATTGCGCAGTATTGTCCCGTGATGGATGTATTAAAGGAAGCACATCCTGAAACAACAATAAAATAATAGACCTGTTTAATAAACACACACTTAACTGAAATAACCTCTAAATATTATATCAAATATTCGTAATCTTATTCATGGCCAAACGGCTTAACTAGAAGACAAACATAATTCATAGAAGACCCAAAAGATTACACACCACTCCCTCGCCGAGGCATTGACAAAGGAACAACAGGACAACTCTGTTATCAACCACATGAGACTTCTTGCCATACTAGGCAAGTGCAGTTGACTGTTTACTGCAAGCCGGACTATGCATGTGATTTAGAGCTGGACATTGGTGTTGTTGAGATGTCATTTTTCACAATTCCCTAAGTTCCATGTGAACTAGGTCATATAATGACGATACATATGCTGCAACATTTGTACGATGTAGCAGAACGTTGAAAAAAAAAAGTTCTAGGTGATTTTTCCATATGATATGATATGATTTTGTGGGCTTACAAGAAGTACAATAACAAGACAGAAATGTTACAATAACAAGACAGAAATGTTCAAGTCGACCACAACCATACTAGAAGCTCTAACAAAAGCTAAAGCTTCATAAAGCAGACAACCACTTATACATCATTGTGTGTCTTATCAATCTCGTCCCTCGACTAACAGACAGTCTTATTCAGTCACATGCAGCTCTATTAACCCTTTCAAACTCCATCAATGTCATCATTTACAAAAACTAGAGTTTGGCAAATCTAGGTTTTCTTTTCTCATTATGTGCTGAAATTGCTTCTTTCAAGTCATCTGATAAAAGGACACCAGAATTCCATGTGGCAACATAATCTAGGCCTTGTTCCACTGTCAAATCCCTACTTTTCAGCAACACGGCTTTTGTTCCAATAACAGCGAGTGGAGACTTTGCAGCTATTTCTGCAATTTAAGAAAAAGTATCAATAACATATTAGCCAGCAATACTTTCAAACCCTCCTCTTTGATGAAGAACCACAAATACTGTAAAATCCACCAGTACATATAAATATTTCTTTTGGTCAAGTACTGTAAAAGAACAATGTTATGCACAAGATACCAATATCAATTCCAAGAAAGCAAGAACTATGCAGCTAAACGAACTTTGACAATATAAAATCCACCAGTACATATAAATAATTCTTTTTGGCCAAGTATTGTAAAAGATCAATGTCATAGTAATTATGCACACCAATATCAATTCCAAGAAATCAAGAACTATGCAGCTAAAAGACTAATTCACCAATGCTAGAGAGAATTGAGGAGGAGAAACAAGAAATAAACTACTTAGTAAAAGGCCCGGTAAACGACAAACCCTTGTGGTCCAGCCCTTCCCCGGACCCCGTGCACAGCGGGAGCTTAGTGCACCAGGCTGCCCTTTAAAAGGCCTGGTAAGTTACCAAAAGCTCATGGTGGAAACAATTGAGTGGAGGAATAACCTATTTTACAAGAACATGACTGACAGCTCACATTTTACTTAAGCAAGGAACAAAATCAGATATGCAAAGATATACACTAATGACACCAGTTCAAATCTCTGCCACACACCATGGTATGCCAAGGTCCTATGACCTTCCATTTCAGGTAAAGAAGGCAGTGTAATTCCAGCCTTAAGTGTTTTCTAATTAAAGACCGCCTACATTAGATTTGAGAAAGGCATAAGTTAACTGACACATACTACCATATTAAACCAATGTCAGTAGTGTACACGGAGAAGGAAAGAAAGTAGGATAGAAGATCTGAATCGCCTTGGATCTCTAGTTTGTTCGACTTTAACTTTTTCAATCTTCAATTCCCCATTTTTATAAAGTTTTCATATGAAACAGATATGGCAAATCACATTTTTGCGTCCCTTGTTTTACTGTTTTATCTCACAAAGACCCTTGTGAATCCAAAAGCCAATTCCAACTATCTTCTTCAGCAGTGACAAATCAATAAAGTTTCACCAAAAAACATATAAAAGAAGATCATTCAGAAGTCAATGCTTCTATGTTGACAGGTTAAACAATCAAAGAGACATGAGTGATCGAGCCTTACCTACATGCCTTTTTCAATGTTAGACTCAGGAACACTCCCCGCAACTTTGCACAAGTGTGTCGGTGTCGATTCTCATCACTCAAGCATGAGAATAAGCAAAGCGCTGAATCAAAAGTTTAACTTACTATTTCCCAAATGAGAGATGCAGGGTCAAGTTATACTCATACAACAACAGCAGCTATGCATCAATTAGACGTCAAGGCTATATGAATCCTCACTGTCCGTGTTGCTTCATTTAAGCTCATCGCAGTCCAATATTATAATAAGAATTGCCCAGTTGTACTCATAAACTTGTAAAAAGTTCTGGTCGGAGGAGAAGATGAAGCTTAGCCTAAATAGCTAAAGCTGCTCCAAAGTGAGCCTAGGCCAGAATAACACTTACATTGTTCCATATGACGTAGGAATTCAAGCAGGTACGCATACTTTTTGTGCTCTTTTGATGTGAATTCAAGTGATACATAATGCGAATAATAAGCCATGGATATAGATAGATATGGTTTGTCAAATAGCTCTTGAAAATAAAGTTGCCTCTAGTAGGGAAATGCTTGCAACAGAGCTGAGCAGTTGTCTTTGTGCTGCATATGTTAAACTATGGTCGAATCTGGAGAGTATCTTCCCTCTCTCTAGAGTTGATGTATTATGATGCAAACAGAGCTGATGTATTATGATGCAAACAGTAATCCACAAAGACCTTTTATTAATGATAGTGGCGTAGGTGGTCAACCTGACATCGCAATTACAGAAAGCCCAACTTGGCAGATTGTAACACAATCTCCACGTGAAGAGTAAGCATGTGTAAGATGCTAGTAAACTGAAGGTCAATTTGCTCCAACGATAATAAGAAATGGAAAAGATTGCACTTTTATCCGTCTCTCTTCAGACATTCAAACTACTGATCTTACACAAGTAAACCGTTCCAACTTGCAGGAAAAGAACTTGAGGTCACGCTAATTAGGATAGTGAGAAACTACTATAAGCCCTCAGCCATAAGAGAAAGATGTTTACATTGAATAAGTCAAAGACTAGAATACAAGAAGAAAAATGGGAAAAGAAGTCTGAATATAAAAGTTCTATCAGTGACTATTTATCCTATAAATAAAGCTAATATAAACGGTAAAAAATGCTTCAATCAATGATTCCAACATCCGCTATAACCATAACAGATGCATCGGATGGACGTCAAGTGGTTGATATTAACATTCGCTACAAAGTTCCAAGCCCCCAGCTCGTAAGATCATGCCAATAAAGCTAATATCGTAGAGGAAACATTGAACGAGAACAATCAAAAAACAATTGCATGAGAACTAATAGCTATTGCTGGATTCTTGCTATTACAATATTTTTAAAGTCTGAGGAGTGAAGAATTATCCAATCGTGGTCAAGTGGCTAAGTTTATCATGATGGAGGAAGCAATTATTCCCATCTTAACGCAAAGATAAAGAGCAAATAACTTCATATCAGTAATGCCATTTTTCCTTATTGCTTCGCATCAAATCCATTAGGGTCCTCTTAAGCATGGAGGACGTAGAAAGACTTATAAATAAAGAAGCCATCGAGGGGGTATTGTGAATGGACAACTGCCAAGTGAGATTCAGAACCATTTATGCTTGAAGGCAATAAGATGGACAGTGTGATTCCCACCATAGCCTTGAAAATCCGGAGGTTTAATGAAGTTATAGATGGTTTCTAGTGTCGGTGCGAGCGAAAGCTCAAATTCATTAGTTACTCCCTCTGCTCCAATTTTTGTGACACTTTCGTTATTGGTCTGTTCCAAAAAGAAAAACTACATTTTTATATTTGGGAAAAGTTTGAAGTTTAAACTTTCTATTTTACCCGTAACGAGAAACTTTCACAACCACAAAAATGTTACGAAATGTTTAAGACCACAAGTTTCAAAAGTCTTTTTTTTTTTTTCTAAAATTCGTGTCGAGTCAAACTATGTCACATAAATTGGAAGGCGGGGAGTATCAGTTGAATCACTATTGAGAAGCAAAACAAATTTACATATTAGTAGTAGCTAATATTGTGGATGCCTAGATGTTGAATGGTAGTATCCTCTACCAAGTACACTCTGTTATTTTCAGTGTACAGATTTCTTAACAATCCTTTCAAAACATAAGAGGTACAATTCATAAAAGTAAGAAGCCAACCCTTTTCCCCGGATATCATGATGCGCTTAAATTTCACATGTATAGTGTACGGTCTTCAAAAATAACTTAACTTAACTAGGCATCAATCTAAAACAACAACAATTTTTTTCTTCAACCAAGAAATATTGAAGCGAAGAGGTAATGAAAAAAGGATGGAACTTTACTACAAAAAGTATTTTAGAAAAACTGAAAACGATACCCTTACCCTCAGCAACAACGTTGACACCTTCCATCAAAGCTTCTTTAGAAGTAAAAACCTTAGAGACCAAGCCCAAATCTTTAGCTTCGGAAGCCGTAAACCTGCGACCAGTTAAAGCCAACTCCATTGCATTCCCAAACCCAACAATACTCGGAAGCCTCTGAAGTGTCCCGAGATCAGCCGTAATTGCTAAATCCACCTCTTTCACCGAGAAAAATGTATCAGAACAACAATACCTAATATCACACGCCGTAATTATGTCAATAGCACCACCAATACATGCGCCGTGGACGGCAGTGATTACCGGCTTACTGCAACTCTCTAAGGCACTAACAGCCTCTTGCAGGAACTTGATATGTCGCCGGAGCTTCACGACGTTGCGGCCGTGATCAGAGGCGTGGGTTTCTTTTAAACCGTCAGATAGCGTTTGAAGGTCGATGCCGGAACAGAAGTGCTTGCCGGAGCCGGCGAGGATGATGACGGCGACATCGGGGTTGTGATCGAGTGAGGAGATGGCTTTGGGGAATTCAGTGAAGAAGTCACGTGACAGAGCGTTGAGCTGGCCGGGTCGGTTTAGATACAAGTAATAGACCTGAGAATTTGGGGATTTTTGTGTGATTTTCAGTGATTTGTATTCCATTGTTTGTGCAGTACAAGAAGATTGATACTAACTAAAAGGGGAGATGGATTGAAACGATGAGTTAGGCTCAGCGAGAGGTGCCTATTTTGGACTGTTTATATAAAAACAAAATATTCAATTAGCTTCGTTCACACTACGTGAACGTTTACTTTCTTCATTAGTGCAACAAGTAAAATCTCACAAATAGAGTACGGAGAAACTAGTGTATACGGAGGCCTTATACCTAGCTGGTGAAGATGGAATGACTATGTTTGAAGACCTTAAAAATGAGAAGCAGCACAGAGTATAACTCTATGAATAAGAAAATACAAGACTAATTATTAATGCAACTGGTATGGCAAAGAAATATGTTCAACTACCCACTAACTTTCTACTCTAATTATTGATCTCCACACTCTCCTATCAAGAGTCATATCCTTCGTAAGATGAAGTTGCACCATGTCCGACCTTGCCATAATACTTCTTAGGTCTATCTCTACCTCTCTTTAGGCCCACAAAGGCCAATCTCTCACACCTCCTCACGGGGCATCTGCGCCTCTGCTCTTCACATGCTCATACCATCTTAACCTCAATACTCGCATCTTATCCTCCACGGGGGCCACTCCAACCATGTCCCGAAAAAGATCATTCCTACTTTTATCTCTCCCGATGCCCGCACATCATCTCAGCATCTTCATTTTCGCTACTTTCATTTGCTGGACACAAAAGTTCTTAACTGGCCAACACTCTGTCTCATACAACATAGTAGGTCTAACCACCACTCTGTAGAACTTGCCTTTAAGTCTAAGCGGCATATTCTTATCACATAAAATACCAGATACAAGCCTCTATTTCATCCATCCAGTTCCAATACCACATCCTTGTTAATCTTTCCATTATCTTGAATTACTGACCCTAGGTATTTAAAACTTCTTTTCTTGGGAAGAACTTGAATGTCAAGGTTCACTTCCATGTCTGCTTCATGACTCATGTCATTGAATTTGCACTCCAAGTATTCTGTTTTGGTCTTGCTCAACTTGAAACATTTTGACTCTATGGTCTATTTTCAAACCTCTAGCCTCGCATTAATACTGTCTCGCGTCTCGTCGGACAGTACTATGTCATTTACAAATAATATGCACCATGACACCTCCCTTGAATGTGACGCGTAAGTACGTCCATCGTCTAGGCGAATAAAAACGGGCTAAGATTTGATCCCTAGTACAACCCCATCACAACTAGAGAGTATTTCGAGTCTCCTCCCATAATCCTCACCCGGTTCTTAGCTCCATCATAATGTTCTTAAACACCCTAGTATATTGTCACGGCCCAAATTCCACCAAAGGGGTCGTGATGTGTTCCCAAATTCAAACCTTAAGATGACGTGATGGCACTTAGTCTCTAAGACTAGGTAAACCTAACACATGCTGAGTTAGTAACAGAATTGAACTATTTAATCATTAAATCATAAACCAGTAATTGACATATATAACTTCAACGGCAAACAGTTATACATTTTCCAAAACCGGTAGTACGGAGTCATAATCTCTACTGAAATACACTAGAATTTCTAAATACTAATTGTTTCGATTTACAATTTAACAGTAGCATAAGGAAGTACGATGGTGACTCCGAGGCTTGCGAGCGCCAACCTGATATACCTTGAAGTCTTCGTCGCGCAGACGCAACTCTCAACATCACGATCAGAAATACCTGGATCTGCAAAAAAATGTGCAGAAGCGTAGCATGAGTACACCACAACGGTACCCAGTAAGTATCAAGCCTAACCTCGGTAAAGTAGTGACGAGGTCAGGCCAAGACAGCTACTAGACATAGAAACATGTACAAGATATGCATGAAGCTAACAATGGAAAGAACATCATTATAAGGCTAACGGCAGAAAGATTATTGATTTACAACCAACAACGAAATAATAAAAACGCAAATGGAAGCAAGTTGTAAACAGGTGATAGAGAAGCAACATAATCAGGACACCGATGAGATATGAATGAACTCAAATAAGGAGGAACCAATGACAGCTCAAATAATCAAATCGTTCCAGATGCATGGCCTAAAACAAGAATTACTCGGAGGCACCACACCTCGTAAATCACAAATCATGGACCACAATTTTCAAATCTTACACGTATGGTACCTCGTGCACACAATAACAATTACCTTCACACGGCAAGGCCTACGTACTACCATGTGCATTGCGATCGTAGCAAATATCAATTAAAATGATTGAGAGTTATATTTAAACACCATAAACAATAATAACAATCTTGAATAAAATAAAGTGTCAAATGAAATAATGAGTTTATTTTAGAAATCAATTAAAGTAAAATAAAATACAATTTATACAAAATAGAGTATCATATGGATTTAGTTTAAAAATCAATAAAATTGAGTAAAATATCATATTTAAACAAAGCAAAAAAAATCAGTTATATTAACGAATTAAATTTAAAATTTGATAAAAGAGAAACATGATAACAATTTTAAGTAAGGTAACCAATCAACAGGGTGTTGGGTATAATTTGAGAATCCAATTATAGCAAAATGGCGATAACCATTTAAAATAATAAGGCACCGAGTGAGATAACGAGTTTTATCTTAAGAGACACATAAAATAAAGCATGTCAATAATTCTATTGTTTAAATTATTATGTTACCAACAACTCAACAGAATATGATATAATGACTTTACGCAATTAAAATCATATTGACAATCAATTTACCAAGTTATAATGGAGGCGCAGATTGGCATGTTAAAGCAATACAATAAATTACATTGAATGCATTACTCACACAAGAAGCCACAATTGTTCTAACACCAAGATAACAAAGAAAACCAAACACAATCAAAATACGGATGAACGATTGACGGAAGAACAATAACCGTTCAAATCAACAAGTTGTCCAAACATAGAATGTACAACAAGAATCACAACCGAGGTACCGCCTCGAAATCACATTTCACAAGTCATAATCACAACCTTTTCTTATATCACCGCGTGCGCCTTACATTTAGTTTTGAAAATTATTTTTCCCCAAATACCTACATGCGTCTTAGTCGAATCTCACCGCGTGGATTCAGGTAGTTCCCCTACTAGCAACACGCGAATCAAGCCCACCTTATCTCACCGCATGCGTATCAACCCTGGCCTTATACCACCGCATGCGTATCAATATCACAACACAATCACAATCGCACCACAACTGCGCATATGCCACAACTTGCCATACGACAACAACAATGTTACCAAAACACATAGCCCACAGCTCAACCACAACATGTACAAGAATCTCAGTAACAACAAAATGAACGAGGAATAAATCAATAAGGGAAGATATTCTTAATCAACAATTTCAACCACAAACGTGTCAATAGCTCTTAATAACTACAACTTTCATAACTCAACAATGAAGGTATTTCCATGAAATGGCAACTTCAAATTCAAATGCATAACATAAGCTCAACAATAAGAGAGGTAGCATGAAATAATAACTACGACTAAATGCATGAGAATAACTCAACAATGGAAAGAATAGCATGTAACAACAATTACTAATAAATGCATATAAGAGTAACCTCGACAATGAAAACTAGAACATGTAATAACAACTTTAAGTAAAGCATGTAAGAATAAACTTGACAACGAAAGATAGAACAGTTAATAACAACTTCAATTAAATGCCTATAAGTAACCTAAGAGTCTAAACCGGTCAATTTTTACATATAAGCCCGTGTACAGACTCATCACCTCATGTACACGTCTTCCACATAATTCAAATAGTACAATCAAACCCATTCCTAAGGGTATTTTCCCCATACAAAGTTAGGCAAGATACTTACCTCAAAGAAGCTAAATCAATACCCTAAGACTCTTTTCCCGTGTGAAACAACCTCCAGACGGCTCGAATCTAGGCAAAATAACTTAATATCATAAATAAAATCCATAGGAAAAAATTTCAGATAACGCTTCGATCTTTAATGAAAACCAAAAGGTCAATTGTTACATCCCGCATTTTCGTACGATAAAGTTTCCTCGTAAATTAATCGACGTAAGTTCGGGAATGAGATTATTGTGAGATTATAAGTATTGTACTATTTCAAACAAGTGATAAGTAAATTCGCGAAGGTGAGAGGGTGAGCGAATCAAAGAAAATGAATTTCGTTGAAATTTGATATTTTGGGGTAAAATACGGTCTAAGCTATAATACCCCGTATTTATGGACTAGTGCCATACAAGGTACCACATGGCCATGATAGTAAGGTGTATAAAGTGTATTAAAAGTGAATAGCATTTTATGTAATTTGAGATAATTCTTAATTATGTGGATAATTTGTTAATTATTAAATTAGTAGGAATTAATAAGTTGATTAAGGAGTAAGTGGAGGGTTAATTAAGGTCTTTGGATAAAGACCAAGGAGTCAAACGTGGTAGCAATATAAGTCCTATTTGATGACTCTTAAGTCACTTTGAAAAGGTGGCAACATTTGAAGTAACACCTACTTTATCTCAATTAGTTAAAGAATGTTATCGAGAAGCCAAAAGCTACGGACAAATATTCCCTTGCTTATAGTAAGCAAACCTTCCATTACTATAATAATCTTGATTCATAAGCTTGCTAAAGCTCACTGGTGAAGCTCAAAAATTTCAAGAATCTCTTTATTCACTATAAGAATTCTAATTCACAAAGGAACATGAATTAGAGTTTAGCAAAGTAGCGGATTTTGAGCAAAAATTTCATACAAAGTTACACTGCGTAATAGCAACGGGATTTGCAATTCTAAGAGAGCACGATACAATCTTTCTCACGAACATCATACGGATTTTCCCCTACTTCAATCCGTCGTTACGTGTTGTCGCAATTGACGTGTGTTGGAAGGATTGTCAAGAGATTCGGCTCAGGTATGTTAAGGCTATTGCTTCTTTCTTTTGGCATGATCTATACGACACAAACGAAACGAGCAAATGCACAATTTCCATAAATAACTCTATTCATAGAAATACTAGAGATGCTTATGTTCTTGATTCCCCATGTGTCATATTATTCTATCATCTGTTCATGGGTCTCAGAAAATACGTAAGTTGATAAAGTTTATTTCATGATATTAATCAAAGGCATGGAAGATTTTATTGACGTACTTCTCATGCATTGCATTCATTTACATTGACCCATGACCATATGGCGTTATATACGTGTATATATATATATATATATGGGAAAAGGTGGCGTTATATACGCAC